CTACGCCTGACGAAGACACAGATGTCCATCCCCGTGAACACTGGGACGCAGCTCAATGGGAAAGGAAAGGATTCTGATTTCAACTGATGGTGTTAAAGTTCATGTGTTTCCTCCATTATCATTACATTTTGATTACCAAGTTATGACCAAAAGTCATTTAATGGGAGTCCTTGTGTCTGCTAGCTACTAGCTCACTCAAAGAAGGCTAAGAATCCATTAACTAAAGGTTAGTGATTTATGATTAAGCAGATTGTTGAATAAAACATTGTTTGGCCCTTTAATGTTTTATTCACCTCTTGGATATGTATGGTAAATGTGTTTGAAATCATAAAAATTGTTCTAAATTAGCCTTTAGCTACGTTTGCTCTCAAACATTAAATCATGCTAAACTGTGATGTCATTGCATCATCTTATTTATTACGATTTCCAAACATGTTTTCCTCCTTATCTATAGTAGCTGAGTTTAGTTAAGTTTCACTAGTTTTAGTCAAGAGCTTTTAACTGTTCATCAACAATATCTGAGAGTCTGAATATTATTGAATTGAATAACATATTTACCCCCCCAACAACAAATGTATTAAAGCTTTCAGGTTCCTCCTGGTCCTGCTGCTGAAAGGTTTGGTTAGCTGCTAGCTTGGGTTAGCTGTGGGGGGCCCTCTGATGACCTTTAACCTTTGACTGTGTGACCAAAGCGGGACCTTGCTGCAGACGGACGTTCTCACCAGGAAGGTGGCGATAGCCATGCCGATGATAAAGCCAGCGATGACGTCGGCCCAGTGGTTCCGGTACTCTGCCACACGGTTCAGACCAGTGAGGAAGGCCAGACACATGAAGCCCAGAGACAGTAGCGGCTTGGCCAGGCGGGTCCCCTTGGCGCGCACCGTGTACGTCACGTACATCTACGGGGACAAAGGAAGGATTAGACTTAAGACCTACCAGGGAGAACAAAACCCAGAGTAACAGATCCAACAGGTTCCACCTCCAGCATCTATGTTCAGTTCATCTGAGAAAACCTTCTTTTATTTGACTGCTCCAAACAAAAGCTTACAGAAAACCCTAAAATGAAACTTGTGCTCCACATTTTCTGTCATCAACCAACAAAGTGAGGACAGAAATGAAGATTCTCAGTCATCCAGGTCATAGTCATTCCGTAAAAGTTAAAAAAG